TCAGTATGACTTGTTATGATTCAATGTGAAAGAGTATACTGCTCAATAAATAATGATCACTTCACCACCTCTCTTGACATCTAGGCCTTTGAGAGTGAGTCAGAGGCAGAATACAGGGACAGAGAGAGAGGTCCATTGCTGAGGTGAGTGATGAAAGGGAAATGACAGTTGAGAGTAAATTGTGATGTGGACTCTCATCCCAGGATTTTAAGGAAATCAGTAGGGATATTGAACAGGAAACATTTCAGTCAAGGGGCATCATATGACCAATATAGACAGAAGAGCAACATTTATTTGAACATTTAAGTCAATGATACCATTCCTAGGTGAACTTAACATCCGTATGGAGTCAGATCAGTCTCAATATTAATAAATGCTCACAGAAGGATTCACAAATGTATTTTGCGATTTATATATAAATGACTCTCCACAACAATATCTCTCAATGCACTCACAAATATTTATTGTTGTATATAAATGTACAAAAAAATGGGCATTTAAACTGCTTTTTATTAATTCAAAGACAGCTCTGAATTAATAATCAAATGTGTTTCCTTTCTTTACTACTGGATGAAATTACAAAATGTACCCATCATTTTCCTCATGCTAGTATAGCCACATAAAAGTATCAAACCACCTGTTAAAATGCACCAGAATACAGGAAATCTATATTTTTTTTCGCCCCCACACCCCCCGTTAAAAATGTCCCCCCCACATTTAGGATGCTTCCTACGCCCATGCTCTCACAGACAGACAGACAGACACACACACTCTCTCTCTCTCACACACAGACACACACACACACACACACACACACACACACACACACACACACACACACACACACACACACACACACACACACACACACACACACACACACACACACACACACACTGGCCATTTCTCAATCTCGAGGAAACTGGCTTCCAAGCCAATATTTCAAGGATGCTACGTCATCGAGTGACGCCGAAGGACTGTTCCAATCTCCAGCATACTTGGAATTCCACCGAGGCCGCGTCCTTGGTTTGGGGGAAATTTCGAGGCTGCACATGGGTAGACTTCGCGTCCTTAAAATCCCCACAATGCTTTGCGCACGGACCAATTTCCCCAAATCTGTGGCGGAAAATGTAAGGCGGGGCCTCTCATATGACGCACACCTGCACACTTGCTAGCCTGTTCCACTCTTCGTTTTCCGAATGCCAGGAAGGATTCTTGCCTAGCTTCTGAAGGAAGTGACTCGGAAGACATGTGCTACCAGCAAGCGTACTCGCGATTGAGAAACACCCACTCTCTCTCTCTCACACAGACACACACCGATGATGATGAATGATCAAGAGAGAGAGAGGGCGATCAAGAGAAGAGAGAGAGGGCGATCAAGAGAAGAGAGAGAGGGCGATCAAGAGAAGAGAGAGAGGGTGATAGAAGAGTGAGAGGGTGATCAAGAGAAGAGAGAGAGGGCGATCAAGAGGAGAGAGTGAGGGCGATCAAGAGAAGAGAGAGAGGGCGATCAAGAGAAGAGAGAGAGGGTGATAGAAGAGTGAGAGGGTGATCAAGAGAAGAGAGAGAGGGCGATCAAGAGAAGAGAGAGAGGGCGATCAAGAGAAGAGAGAGAGGGTGATAGAAGAGTGAGAGGGTGATCAAGAGAAGAGAGAGAGGGCGATCAAGAGAAGAGAGAGAGGGCGATCAAGAGGAGAAAGAAAGGGCGATCAAGAGAAGAGAGAGAGGGCGATCAAGAGAAGAGAGAGAGGGTGATAGAAGAGTGAGAGGGCGATCAAGAGAAGAGAGAGAGGGCGAGCAAGAGAAGAGAGAGAGAGAGAAGAGAGAGAGGGCGATCAAGAGAAGAGAGAGAGGGCGATAGAAGATTGAGAGGGTGATCAAGAGAAGAGAGAGGGCGATCAAGAGAAGAGAGAGAGTAATGTAACCTCCTAATGTAATGTATAACTCCTATGAAAATGTTCAAAAAGTGCTCAAACTTCACATGTGTGCTAACAGTCCAGCCGTGAAGGCATCTACGGGATGGTTTTGAGATTTCTTCAAATGCCATTGCCATGGCAACACAATGCTCACCATGAAACACGGTTTTCTCATAACTTCAGTGAAAATGCTCGAAATGGCCCAAAACTTCACAGGTTTGGTAACGATGCAGCCATCAACACATCTAAGCTTATTATGGGGTGTCATCAAATGCCGTTGCCATGGCGACAGATAATTCACCATCAAGTTAGTTCAAAAGTTTGCAGTTCAAAGATTCTGCTGCTTTCCCAAGCATTTTTACTTTCTTTTCTCATCTTAATACAAATTCATTCACTACTACTTACATCTGATATTTAACTCCTTCAGCCTATTTTCAGCTGCAGAAACCATTCAACTATTACATTATTCAGCTATTTCAGGACATCAAGGCTATACAGTACATGTTGTTGTTTATACCTTTTTTTAAACCTTTTCTTTTAAATATTAAGCTTTTTCTGCATTTTTGTAGCTAAAAGCAGCTACCATTCAGCTAATAACATATTCAGCTTTTTCTGCATTTTCAGCTAAATTCAGCCACAAATGTTCACAGTTTACAGCATTCGCACGCATTTTCTGCAGGAAATGCATTTTCTAGTTTTTGGCTGCTATTTCAATACTCAGATTGTAACACCACGGTTGAAAAAAAGACTTTGCCATGTGGAATATACACTTTTTACACACTTAATGTTGCCACTTGCTGCTACCTCAGTACTAATATATGTTTACTTATATATTATAATTTACAATGGATGTTTAGTTATTTGATTTCCTTTAGAACCGCCAGAGATTTTTTATACCTAAAACCGCCACCTGGGTCAAATTGACCCGCTATTAGAATGCATTGATTTTCAAGGTAAAATGTTCTTTTATTGAACAGAGAGTTTTGATCGCACAGGGATGAAACGTATACCAATATAATCTGTGGACTCTCAGGGCTCGACATTATAAATGGCCCGCTGGGCCGGAAGCATTATTTAGACACCGCGGCCAGCATAACGTACTTTCAACTCGCCCCACAGCTGTTTGCTGCGGAGCGCAGTGCGAGCAGTCTCCCGTGAGCGGGAGCACACTCCTTCACTACAGACTGTCTCTATCTCTCTCTCTCTCTCTCTCTCTCTCTCTCTCTCTCTCTCTCTCTCTCTCTCTCTCTCTCTCTCTCTCTCTCTCTCTCTATAACTATCTATCAATATATCTATCCATCTATCTCTCTCTCTCTCAATCTATCTCTCAATCTATAAGGAGGAACCGCAGTAGACAAAAGGCGTTGCTATAGCAACACGTCATGTTTATATGAAAAGGGGTGGGGTCAATATGACCCGCTTGGCGGAAATAGGTATAAATGGCAATTTTTTGGGTGATTTCTTCAATCTGACTTCATATTGACAATTTTTAACAACAGAGGGTGGTACATAACACACTTTCAGGAAAAGTCACGGACTGGGAGACTTTAATATTTTATTGAAAAAAAGTTACATCAAATATAAAACAGCTCGGGGTCAAATTGACCCCGTTGGCGGTTCTAGTGTTAACGCATGCTTCCCTCTGTATTTAATATGTTACTCTTCTCCCTGCTGTGGGAGTAGAACATGTCATAGATATGTTTGATTGAGCCATTTACATGTCACACTTCTTCCTGAATTGAAACTGAATGTTGTGAGTGATCATGAGTCTCAACTAAAAGTTAACTGCATATGAACATAACTTGTAAGGGATAGGTTTAAATCTTCTGGGCCTCTTATTTGTTTAAACTTTAAACAATGTATTTCATTTTGGGGTTTGCTTCATGACCCTTCAATAACATTTGAAGAAGCAAGGGTAGCCTTTTCTTACAATAAAACGCCTCAGTGTTATGATGGATAACTGTTGATTATTTATCCCAGTGTGACAAAACAACTGTTTTATTGAAATATAGCACAACAGTCTAGTATGGAATGCATGTGAAATAAATCATCTGTGTTCCTGACATCAAATGATCCCCCATGAGACTTTCTCTGTCAGACACTTTAAGAGCCTCCTCTCCTCATAAATCCAGAAAGGTCCATGTTCATAATTGCTCTGACAATTAGGCTACCTTTATCTGTTAGAAAGATTATGTTATCACTCATATCAGCATACAGTCCCATAAACACAAGTTCTGGGAACAGTAAACAGATTGAAGCTCTGTTTACAGTTAGTTCTCTGGCTCCAAACAACATCATGATAGTGTTTACGACATGGGCCTGACGAGGACCTTTGCCTCGTCGTTAAGGCCATAACACCATACTTTAGAAGAAATGGAATTCAGCCGGTGGCTGACGTTAGAAGAGGACCTACTCCTTAAGTGCTCATATTATTATTTTCTATTCTTTGCATATATATTTCACACTGGCCCTTTAAAGTAGACAATCAATGACATTGGCATTACCTTTGCATCTGGTTGTTTTGTTATTGCTGTGGTTACTGTATTTTATTTAACAAATATTGTAATTATATTCTGAATGTTACAATGTCAAATACATACCAGTAAGTTGTAACAAATCAATGCATTTCATTACATTTCTCTTTCTTTGTGTTTTATGAGGAGATGAACAATTGGTTAAATGGTAATGAGACTTTGACAATAAAGAACACAAACATGAAGTCAACTGTGAATTTACAAAAAACAAACAAGCTTCATGAGTTGATAAATATCTGCATAATTTGAAGAAATGACTGAAGACAAATGTAGAAAGGTAAGTATATATGTATTACATATTGCCTTTATCTAAGAGATATTGTGAATGGGGAAATTGAGTGATTTAAACTACTTTTTTTTGTATCATTTGCGTTTGGCCTAAGTACATTTTTGAAAATATGCAACCAAAGTTAATAGACACCTTTTCTTCAAACGAATATAACTAAGACATCAGACCTGATATGGAATTTAAAACAGGATGTTAAACTCTTTGGACGGTAGGTGGCGGTATGTATCTTGAAGTTTACAATAAACCAGAGGAGACGAAGAAGAAGAACGAGAAGAAGAAGGAGAAAGCGGAAACAAAAGAGGTTTTCTGAAAACACAAACACATCTCCGGCTCTCGAAGCACTCAGGGAATAAACTACAGCCATTGACATCGCCAGCAATACTATTAAAACCAGATAAAGAGCGAGTCGACCTGTGTGGAGGAGAAAACGGCACCGGGCATCATGGCACTGAAAAGAATACAGAAGGTAAATGTGACTGGCTAGCTACGGTTGCCAGCTAACTGTAGCTAACAGCAGAGGCTAACGTAAAGAGTTAATTTCCACAAAACGGCTTATTAACAACATTTTCAACGCTACCCTCGCATTTAAGCATTTTTATATCTAACTTTTTAGCTTTTTGCAAATAACTTGTCTGTTGACACCGCCTAGAACAGCTAGCAGCCGGTGTCAACTTCAAAGTTTCGGGCTAGCCTGCTAACAGTTTAGCTAGCTCAGTAACTACTCCCTGACAATCTGTCACTGTGTGTTCTTTAAAGTAACAGGACAATAGTCCATTTGTACTTTTCCTCTTTGTGGTAAACATACTGCATTAAGAAGAAAGTCTCACTGTCCTCCATTTTATTGTTTATAGTGCTGGAAGAAGTATTCAGATATTTTGATTAGGTAAAAGTAGAAAAATAAATTGTAAAAATACTCTGTGACAAGTCCTGCATTCATAATCTTACTTAAGTAAAAGAACAAAAGTATTGGCCTCAGAAAAATACTTAACGTTCCAAAAGTAAAAGTACTTATTCTGTCCCATTTCATAAACAAATATATGTACTAAGTAACTGGATTTGAATTGTTTTAGCAATAGCGTGCTCTTTACAGCTGGTAAAAGTGGAGCTCCAACAAGCCGTGTACAATGGAATTATGATCAGTAGAAATGGCCATGACATGGGACCTTTTAATATAAGCTTGAACATATAGGTTTAATAGGTATAGCTGCTCCTTCATGTCGCTCCGTTCTAACCAGGAAGTAATCTGAGGGCAGGAGGGCTGAGGCAAAGTGCAGGCCTCTTGAGACAAGTTATTTGCCATTGAATCATCAAGAAGCAATGTCTGCTATTCGGTGAAGTGGCACTTCAAACTGATACCCGCCAATAACCAGTAGCTAATGCATAGTCCAGCTGATTCTGCTAGTGTTTGTGAATTAGTAGTCACATTACACATTACATAAATAACCTTTGTTCAAACTTTTTTCTCTGCTGGATCAGTTGTTTTACAAACTTTTTTTTCCTAAGGGGCAACATATACATGCTGTGAAATGTCCTTGGAAATAATAAGTTAGCCTGTGTGAAAACTGGGGTTTGAACTTGGATTCAAGTGTCTACTTTCTCTTTCACTTGAGGAATACCATGAGATGAACTGGAGAGCAAAAGTCACATTTAGTTGACCTTGAGTGCCTGCACAATTTGAAATTTCAAAATGTGATCTCAACTTGTTATTGAAATTAAAGACTAAGTATTAGATATGATTTAAGCTGAATAACTAAGAGTTGTGTTTCTGTTGCATTGAGCAGGAACTGCATGACCTGCAGAGAGACCCTCCAGCTCAGTGCTCTGCTGGACCAGTGGGGGAAGACTGTGAGTACACATGCATTTCATGTGTTTTTTCAAATGATTATTTTGTCATTTTATTGTTTTAAATGGTCTACAGGCATAGTCAATGGAGGAAGTGGGGATGAATATTCCAATCCAGCATATCTGTTGTGCAGATAATGCTATCTGAGACAGCACCAAGTGTTGTAAACTACTGTGTAGTACACATTCCCATTTTTCCATCCTAAGACTCTGTCTGTCTGTCTTTCTCCCTGAAATGCTTTTAGTGTTTCACTGGCAGGCGACCATAATGGGTCCGGTGAGTATCACAGCATCAGTCCTCTCATACACACTTCTGCTACACTGGAAATAGTCTCTTAATTGCTGCTATTGGAAATGATTACCATTGCTTGACGTAGGCCTTTAAAACCACTCTAGGGATTTGTTTGGAACACTTTTGCATTTCCTTTTAATGGTTTTACATCTCCTCATATTACTTGGCTCATTGCGGTTACGCTGTAAGGCATCTAAACAAGCTATTGTATTCACGTTGAACTGAGAAGCATATTTTCTTCCAATAGTGAATAAAAACAGATACTCGTATAAAAACTGAACTATGAAAAATCTATGAACCGATTCAATACTGTGGTGGACGGGTTCACATGAATGTAATGTTGAAATATAAGCCTGTGTGTTAGGGCTGCTCGATTATGGCAAAAATCATAATCACGATTATTTTGGTCAATAATTGATATCACGATTATTAAATACTGACTTTGAAAACATCCATTTATTGAACTTTAAAACAAATACAAATAATAATTTGAACAGTATCTTTTTAACTGTTGATTACCCTGAATGTATAATTCAACTGAAAAACCAATACAAAACTAAATTAAATAAATGATACATTTATATTCACATTTTAAATAAATAATATCAAAAATAATAAATACCAATAAACAAGATCAACAAATATTTGAGCGCACTTCAACAAGCTACTAAACATATATAAATATGATAAATAAAAATAAATTAGACTAAAATAAATTAGATCAAATATGTTGCAGTGCACTGTCACAACCTAGCAAAGCAAAATAATCGTTTTTTTCTATTATGTTGTTTTCGTAATTGTGGCAGGCCAAAATCGTAATTGCGATTAAAATAGGATGAATTGCACAGCCCGACTGTGTGTTTGAACAGGTTGGACACAAGAACACATTTACCAAAGTGAAATGAGCAAATATAATTGACCTGGGGAAATTGGATTTCTAGACATATGCTTCATTTAAGAATGAAAATAATACTAATTATTCAAAAATATATATATTTCTAAAGACATACAAAGTTAAAGTAAGAATTAACAACATTAAATAAACATATTTAATAAACATAAGACGTTGAAATCAAATATCCAGTAAAAGATCAAATAGAATAAAACATACATAAGAAGTAGAAATGTGCTTTACTACAATCATTATTTCACAGCTGGCTTACCTTTTCCATGGCAACCTATGAAGTGCTTATTAGTCATGACACTGACAGACCCTCTTTAAGCTTGGCAAATAGGTCATGTTTGGTATTTGTTGCATGTTATTCTATTCTAGTTGTGTGTTTAAATTCTAAATATTTTACACTGCTGAAGTAATTTTCATTAAATGATAAATAAGATTACTGCTCTGGATTTGTCAGCGTTGTTTGTTATGTGCTTGTAATAACGAATGTTACTTTTTCAATGTGGACACACTCAAGTTGGTTAGCAGCTGTTTCCATGTTTGACTGACAGCTATGTCTCCCATGTGTTCATGTCAGGGTGACAGTCCGTACCAAGGAGGAGTGTTCTTCCTCACAATCCACTTCCCCACCGACTACCCGTTCAAGCCTCCAAAGGTAAGAGCTGCTCATGTTTCTGTCCTACTGTGGACCTTACTGTCAGGAAGTCCTCTGGTCCTAGACTCTCTCTTATCACCTAAGAGAGAGTCCTACTGTGGACCTTACTGTCAGGAAGTCCTCTGGTCCTAGACTCTCTCTTATCACCTAAGAGAGAGTCCTACTGTGGACCTTACTGTCAGGAAGTCCTCTGGTCCTAGACTCTCTCTTATCACCTAAGAGAGAGTCCTACTGTGGACCTTACTGTCAGGAAGTCCTCTGGTCCTAGACTCTCTTATCACCTAAGAGAGAGTCCTACTGTGGACCTTACTGTCAGGAAGTCCTCTGGTCCTAGACTCTCTCTTATCACCTAAGAGAGAGTCCTACTGTGGACCTTACTGTCAGGAAGTCCTCTGGTCCTAGACTCTCTCTTATCACCTAAATGATGTAAACCATAATACCTGATAAGTTGTACATTATAGGATTTATAATGTATATCTCTTATCTTTTTTTTTACAGGTAGCATTTACAACAAAGATTTATCACCCAAATATAAACAGCAACGGCAGTATCTGTTTGGACATTCTACGGTCCCAGTGGTCTCCAGCACTTACAGTGTCTAAAGGTAACTTCACTGTTATCCACTTTATCTAATGTCTTGTGTTTTTTTTATGTTTTCAGTGTTTTATTTTATTTTTGTTTGTAAAATGAAAAATAATGAACCTATTAAATTGTACTTTATTTAAAAAAAAAAAAAGCAGTGGTGGTGCTTTCCAGCAGGGCCTATCTATATTACTAAATTAATGTAATAATATCCTGTAATACAAATTTCAAAAAGCTTTATTGGCAAGACTGAAATGACATACAATATTGTCAAGCAGTGCACAAATAAGAACAAATACAACGTGCATATATACATTTGTAAAATATATTTGCTTTAAGATAGAGAGATACTTTGTTTATCCCAAGTTGGGAAATCGGTCACTGCAGCATTTTGAAAGTCAATCAACAAGAATTACAAAATGTCTTAAAAATAGAATTAAATACAAATATAATAAAGATAAACATTACACATTTAAAAAAACATAATTACATATTCTCAGTAAAATATATATATTTTCAAAGGAGTATCTAAACACTATAAAATATACACAATAAATGTGAATAATTTTGAATATACCAATCTACTAAACATATAAACAGAGTGTACTCTTTACATAAAAAAATAATGTACATTACCTTGAAATTAAAGTAAAATATATCCTGTGAGGTAGTATGCTGCAATATGTATTTACGGTATGTTTAAATAAAAGAATGAACAAAATCTAAATGAACAAGGAAAACAATGAACTTTTTTTAACTTGAATAATCGCAGTTTTTAACCCCTTAAAGTTAATTTGTATTTCTTTTCATTGCAGTTTTATTGTCCATATGTTCATTGCTGTGTGATCCGAACCCAGATGACCCCTTAGTTCCAGACATAGCACACATGTACAAGAACGACAAAGACAAGTGAGTGTAAACGAGACGTCCACTGATATCGATCTACATCATGTGACATGTGTTGACCTGTTGTCCAATCATCCACTCTCGTATTTTCTCTCCTCAGATACAACAAACTAGCAAAAGATTGGACCCAAAAGTACGCCATGTAAAGAAAAAAAGAAGAAAACATGCTGAGAATTTTCCTTTTTCCTTCCTTTTTTTTTAAAAGTCACAACACACTGTACATTATAGTATGGAATCATTAAGTAATCCTAGGTAACTTCCATCACACTGAACTGTCATTAACAATATCATTAATCCATGACATGTACATTGATTGTTTTTGAAAGGAAGCAGAAGAGAATGATTCCCTGCGGTCGCTATATGGACGATGATGTTTCCAAGAAGTTTGGCATGTTGTTCTTGCATCAAGGAATTTTTTATTTATAACTCAAGTTTATTACAAATTGCATTCTTCATTTTTGAAGTAAGACTAGTAGATTGTAGGATTTAAGTCCCAACATATGCCATTCAGCGAGAAGCCTTTTTTCCAGAGGAGCTGAGTGATTGTGCAGCATACATGCTAGCTGCTCCTGGAGAGGAATAGCCCACGTTCAGTCTCTGCTGCAACATCAGCTGCAGGAAACCCCCAACCATGGAAATGTGGATGGGTGAATGCCAAATATGTGAGCCCAACATTCTGACACATGTCATGTAGTGGGTGATCAAGGTTTTTTTTTTTTTTTTTTGCATCTTGTAGCGGACGAGGTGGAATGAAACAATGTACTGTTTCCCTGAAAACGGGAGAAATTACAAGTTACGTATTACAGTCTTCTTCTTCCTATTGTTATTAATTGTATAGCATTAAAATCGTCTTGGATATTTCATTTAAATTAGAGTTATCACTATGTAAATCTGTCATTAAAACGATGTTCTCTTTTCCCCTGAGAGTAGAAGTGACGTTGGCTTTTTGGTTGGTTTTACACGGGAACAAAGAAGAGATTTTAATCCACTGACTGACCTGTAATAAAGGGTTACATGTGTTCATCTGTATATCCATCTATGCTATAAAAGTGGTGAAAATGTATTTCTTTGTTCCAGTGTAAATAGTCTCACTTGTGTCTTTGAGGCCTGTGTGGCACCTTTTGTACTGAATTAAAGAAAGGTACAGTTTTTATCACGACTTTATGGTTTGGATCACTGAGCTTAATGTGATGTGTGAAGGTATTATACATTTATTGTTCCCATTGCTATGTTTTTATGGTGCATATTCCCAAAAGTCCATTTGTTTCGCCTGTATTCTGAATTCAGTGTTGTATCTTCTAGCAAAAAGAAAAGATCATTACTGATAACATTTGAGATTCTGTGTTAAGTATTTGTTAATGATAACTACTAATGATAACTACTTGTAAAACTGATTTAAACATTACATCTTTAAATAGATCAGATAACTAATATGTACCTTTGACCAAGTATTACATCTCAATAATGTATAGAGATGCTATAAGTATTTCTAAACATTTAAAGGTATTATAAGTTTGAACATTACAGCCATCCAAATAATGCACAGTTTAATAATCATCAAGAAATTGTAAAAAGTATTTGCTCCATTTGTGTTTTCATTTGTTAAAGGTTTACAAATCATTTGATAATCATTCACAAATATCTAATATAGTAGATCAAATGTTGTGTGCAACAGTAACCATTATAATAACATCAGTGATATACATTAAACATGATTCATTATTATATTTCATACTTAGTCAAATATCAGTTAAATAAAGTTGAACTAAACTGCAATTTCTTATGAGAAAGGTTGCTATAATTTTTAGATTGACAATTATTGATATTGTAGTATGACATAAAGATTATTATTACATTGTTTAATGACCTTGCCTATGTGCATGTGGCATAGACAATGATTGGATTAAAGGATTACAAATCTTTATCTGTCATATGCACAGCCTAGTTTTAGCAATGACAGTTTAGAAAAGTCTCAGCCTCTTTGAACCATGCAACATACAATCATTTGAACATAAAAGAAAAATACTAAATAGTCCATTAGAAATAATGCTGTAAGGAAAAGATATAGGAAATAGGACAAGATAAACATAATGATAATACGATTAACAGAATGCAGTGGTAGATGTTATGCAGAATGCAGTGGTACACGTTATGTTGTTTTTAGAAAACTAGCTACTTTCCAGGTATGGATTCATAATATAGAATATAAATCAAGCAATAAGTCATTATCTACTATTATAGGTTAAGCTATCCAGGGGTATATCTAGTCATTTAAATATGCTCCACCTTTACCAAGTGCAATATTGACTTAATACATAATAATTATAATACACTATGTTAAAATCATATATGGGCAATACTGAAAAATGAGTAGTTTGACTTTTTGTACTTGAGTATATTTTGATGTCATCCCTTTTTGTGCTTTTACTCGAGTACAATTTTGAATGCAAGACTTTTACTTCTAACAAAGTACTTTTACGATGTAGTATTGTTACTCTTACTCAAGTACAAGATCTGAGTACTTCTTCCATCTCTGGCACAGTGTAAAGATAATTAGGCTTCCTAAGAGTCTGTAAATAGGTATTCATTTTTAAAACCACGCTATCGCATGCACTATGCCGTTTAAGGAAAGGGTTCCTTCCTTATTATAGAACATCTTCGGAACTGCTACATGCTGCACATCATATCCACATCCGGCTGAATTACTTTGACCTTTCCCACAATCCACCGGGGCAACAGAAGGCGCCTGTTGTAGCACATGCATGTCAACAAGGAGGAAAGGAAGACGCTCGGCTACAATTAAAAATTAATGTGTGAATATAATAACACGCTGCTTTTTAGGGACAATACGTGTGTCTTCCATTCATTAACGTAACATCCTTGACAGCAACATGGCTCCGTTCGGCTTAATGACTGCAGGTGCTAGCTGGCTGGCTAAGTCCTTCAGTGTGTTCTCCTGCACAAGCACTCTGGCAAGGTAGCTATCCTGAAGTCACTTTACTGTGTTAGATGGCATTAGCTCAAGTCGAAGCAAAGGCTAGCTAGCTTTAGCTGTCATTGTGGCTGTAAGCATGTTAAGGTCATTAAATCACTTTGGATACTTTTACTGAAATGTGTTTTGGACTTATGACTAGCATATGTTACTGGTAAATAAAAAATACTTTTATCATCTTAAGTTACTAAGTCATAACTAATATTGTTATTGATTCACACACTTTTGGATGTATTTTACAGGCATTTAGGGCCTTTGTGTGATAAAAGGAATAACAGCTAGTTAAGCAACATTCATAATATATTTATTACATCGAAAGTAAAGCACGTGTGTTTAGGTGAGGGCTAGAGGAGTTTGAACTTCTGACCCCATTGGAATCCTCTTGCAGTTTAATGCTGTCTGGTGTTTTTCTAATAGAGTATGACTCAATGCCTTTAACACAGATCACAATCAGAAACGGGTTTATTAACACATACGAGAAATTTGCCTTGGTGTATATGGTGCATACATACATGCAGTTAAAGAAGATATCATTGTAAGAAAAACCACCACAAAATAAAACTATTATAACATTAAAATAGAGAAATAATTATTCAATATAATATGACATAATACTCAATAATAAAATATGTGCAGTATTTTACAAAAAGTGGAAAGCTGTGCAGATATTAAAAGATGCAGTTTTGTAAATATTTTGCGGGTTGTGCATGACTGACAGTACTTAAATGAACAAGATATTGCTTGCATAGTTTAATTTCTTTGAGCAATTATTTAACTTAATTCAAATAAGTCTTAGAAATGTCAAGAACTAATGTAAAAAGATGTTTCATCCCTCGCTACTTCCAGAGGCCTAAGGAGACTTCTTTATGTGTCATTTACTGTAATTTAATTAAAAGTGTTTACTGTACCGTTACTCTGGACTAGTCACCATTGAAGTACCACTAAATGGCCAGATTTGTGAATGGAGTTTGGATAAGAGTTCCCTCTGTTAAAACAAATGGGTGCTACGATGTTTTCTGCATTGGATTATATTTATGTTTGTGTGTTTGGCTCATGCTGTAGGTGCTCCAGTGTCCTCTCAGCGACATACATCACTCCAGTGAAATATCTGAGCTCTCAGGCCAGCGGACCGCCAAAGAGGCCAGTAAGCGGATACCTGAGATTTCTTTTACAACAGCGGCCAGACATAACCAGACACTTCCCAGGTAAATCTGCAACACTTGCTACTTTAATAAAAAAAGGCAGCCTAAGTTATTGATTTCACAAACTAGCGGCGCTTGGCACAACAAGCGGCGCTAGGCACAACAAGCGGCGCTTGGCACAACAAGCAGTGAACAACAAGGAAGCTTCATAAAAACAAATACAAATGTTATCTCAGAGCAAACGGCTGGACTTGATCAGTCTGAGAGTCTAATGATCACATTTACAATTGTTGCCTTCAGGTATCAAGTCAACTGAAATCATGAGGAAGGGCGCCGGGCAGTGGGTAATGCTGACTCCAGAACAGAAGAAGGTATTTCACTCATTTTTTTGTTAAACAGTACAAACTGTATGCCTTTTTTTAATAGTGCTGTTGGTTAAATATTTCCCAAGGCCCATAACTTTGACCCAGTTTATCAGTTCATACCGTCCTGACTGAGCACACGCACCTGTAACCTTGGCTGCTGTGCTCTCAGTGTTTTGTATCCCTGTTCCTGCCTGTTGGCGTCAGCTGATAGAGGTGTTATCATTCTATCTTGTTATGCACAATGTTGATTATTCTCTCTGAACTAGCTAAATACATGGGTCTGGGGTAGAGTTCTTCAGAATTTACGTGGCAACTCTACTGTGAAGTCAGAACCTCTGGCTCTTGGACTTGTTTTGTGAATTCTCCGGCCGAAGCACCTAATAAACCATCAGTGTTTGACATCAAAGCTCCAGCTCTCCCCGTGTCTCCTTCCTGAGTCGGTGACTCTCACTGCATTGCTACACAGAAGTTTTCCCCCACAAGTGCCTTATCGTCTAGTTGCCAGCTTAGTCAACCTGGAAATGTTGAGTACCCCAAAGTTTTATGTTAGAAATGTATAGTAGGGGTCATCAGCACATAGAAACTGCCGGATGCTAACTTGCATATGTTTGGCAATTAGCACAATTAGTACACGTTGCGTTAATTAGCATTAATTTACTTGGTCACTTACAACATTCTCTCTCTATTTGGCTTATTGTATGTATTTATTTTCCTGACGGATATATAGTTTACTTCATCTTCATCTGCATAACTTGCACATTGGAGTGCAACATAATCTGCATTGTTCTATTCTACTATGTTGCATTGTTGGATGAGCTTGGGACTTAAGATTTTCATTGCCATTTCTACACTGTAGCTTGTGTGCATATGACATTAAAGCCTTTGAATCTAATGGCATTAAAGCCTTTATTGACAATAGTAAAATAATGGCTTGGCCACTTTAGACAATGTTGGAGTGGTTTTGGGGGTTGTTGATGATGCAGAGTCAATTTCTGACATTTTCAGGATAAAAACTTGCATTTTTTTTGTTACTAATGTCCCCATAGGCCTTAATTGTAATTAGGGTTGCTCCGAATGCCAATTTTGGGGCCGATCGCCGGAATCAGTATCGGCCGATACCGATAGAGTGGGCCTATGGGGATCTTCCATTTAAAGTGATGTTTAAAACTCAGTTAATGGGGCTCATTCACTGGCGCTTCCACAAACAACAACTAACATAATTATTACATTCAAATGAAGTACATTATTCAAGTTTACATTAACTTGGGATAATAACACGGGAGAAATGAGCGGAAGCGCTCTCTTTTCCTCTCTCCCTCTCTCTCTCTCCTGACAGCCTGTCAGTATCTCCTGCAGCTCACTGATCCAGTAATGAGTGACCCGACTGTGAAGAATAAATATATTTATAACTAGTTTAGCTTGTTCCAGAGGTAGATAAAATAGCTAAGTGTGTTAGGTCTAACTCTTACGGCACGTCCACACGGCGGCGTGCGTTGAAGCTTCAACGCTTCTGCCCATTCACTTTGAATGGGGTGACGTCACGCTTTGCCGAACTGCATTGTGGTTCCGTCGATTCGCTTTGCTTGCGTTGCTCGCTTCAAAAGTAGAGCAATGTTCTACTTTTGAAGCTTCGACGGAAGCGTCAGCCAATCAAATCATATGCCTGTACAAGCTCTAGCCAATCAAACCCTGTGCTTGTGTGTCCGGGGCGGGAGATTCATGTGATTGATTGTTGGTCGAGTTTCAGACATGCCCACCGGCAAGCTTCAACGCACGCCGCGGTGTGGACGCTGCGTTAGTGTGTGTTTTGCTCCGCTCACCGGTCCGTCACAGCGGGTGGAGCTGCAGGATTTCTGCTTCACACACGTTGCATACCGCTATTTTATTGTCATTTTCGGACACCTTAAAATACTGCCAGACTGGTGAAGCCATTTTGGCGAGCTTGTTTTGCCGCGCACAGAGAAAAGTGTCATGTATTTTACGTCATGCGATCGGCATTTTTAGAGAGCACCGATCGATCGGCAGAGAGTGAGTATTGGCCGATATCGATCGGAGCATCCCTAATTGTAATTCATGCTAGTTGGGCAAATTGCCCAAAAAATGCAAGTAATGTTAAATGAGATGTACTCAACATTTCACAACAGGATTCTATGAGATGACAACTAGAATATTATGTGCATACATTGTAGCAAATCCTCACTGTTATACTGATTGTCTTCCTCCTTGTAGCCTTTTAATGAAGCCGCTCAGCGAGCCAGGGAGCAGTTTAAGGTTGACCTCCAGCGCTACCAGGCCCTGCTGACCACAGAACAGTTCCAGCAAGAAACCCAGGCGAGGATGCAGAGGCTGACCAAGAGGAGGTCCATTATCCAAAAGAGGGTAATTATATATATATATATATATATAGTAGTTGATAGAGATCAAGGAGGGCTGGGGTTCTCTTTGTCAAGAGCTTCAAGATAACATGTTCATAGGTGACTGGCTCAGAGGTAAATGGGTGTTAATTAGGGATGCTCCGATCGATCGGCCGCCGATCAATATCGGCCGATATTCACTCTCTGCGGATCGATCGGTGCTCTCTATAAAGGTAGATATGTTTATTCTTCACTGTCGGGTCACTCATTACTGGATCAGTGAGCTGCAGGAGATACTGACAGGCTGTCAGGAGAGAGAGAGAGAGGGAGAGAGGAAAAGAGAGCGCTTCCGCTCATTTCTCCCGTGTTATTATCCCAAGTTAATGTAAACTTGAATAATGTACTTCATTTGAATGTAATAATTATGTTGGTTGTTGTTTGTGGAAGCGCCAGTGAATGAGCCCCATTAACTGAGTTTTAAACATCTCTTTAAATGGAAGATCACCATAGGCCCCGCCCACTCGATCGGATCGGCGATCGGTATCGGCCGATACTGATTCCGGCGATCAGCCCCAAAATTGGCGATCGGAGCATCCCTAGTGTTAAACAATCAGAGGGTCAGTATTACGATCCCCAGTCCCTGCTGTCAACACGGTAAAGTGTCCTAGGCCAAGACACTTAACCCCTAAGCTTAATGAAATTTAATATGATATGCTCTTTGAAACACGTCAAAGACTAGATTATTTTAAAAAATCTCGAAGTTTGACGCTGCTAACAATCTGAATATCTAACCCTATTACATCAGCTGTTGTCACACTGTTGTGTTGTGTGTGTCATATATAATATTATTGCTTTCAACTAACCTACAACAGTTATGTGAAAATGTTTGACGTAATACATTTAATTAAAGTCAACGCTTCAGCTTTTTCAGTGTACTGACTTGAACTTGTACACAAAATGCATGCCCATAGGCTGATGAACTCACACACTCTCAATATGGTGTGTGTGTGTGTGTGTGTGTGTGTGTGTGTGTGTGTGTGTGTGTGTGTGTGTGTGTGTGTGTGTGTGTGTGTGTGTGTGTGTGTGTGTGTGTGTGTGTGTGTGTGTGTGTGTGTGTGTGTGTGTGTGTGTGTGTGTGTGTGTGTGTGTGTGTGTGTGTGTGTGTGTGTGTGTGTGTGTGTGTGTGTGTGTGTGTGTGTGTGTGTGTGTGTGTGTGTGTGTGTGTGTGTGTGTGTGTGTGTGTGTGTGTGTGTGTGTGTGTGTGTGTGTGTGTGTGTTCCAGGAGTTAAACACCCTTGGGAAGCCAAAGCGCAGCCGCAACTCGCTCAACATTTTCTACTCGGAGCACTTTTTGGATGCCAGAGGGCTCGACCCAAAGGTCAGTAACGGGACAGATTGTTTTGAGATCAAATGGTATGAGATGCTTACTGCAGTAATATTGATGGATGAAGTGGTTTGCCAGTAAAAAAAAAACAACTTGCATGGACTTTCTACACATGAACCCACAAAAGTAAGATAGCTAAAGCTAGCTCCCTTACCTTTGCAGTGACCTCAGCTCAGAGACCTTGCCAGAGTGCTTGTGAAGGAATGAACTGTAATTAACATAAATATAATACGGTAAAATAATGTAGTGATGTTAAATGTATCCTCTTTCAGCTGCATCGATGTGACATGCATCATAGCTGCTGATTTACAGAGGGTTTATTTGATTGGTCAGAGACATTAGTATGGGCAGAATGGAAAAAGGGCAAAGTCTGACCAATCCATTCAAATGTTCTCTCAAAGACATGTTTAGACCTTCTTCCATGGAAAAGATTCAAACTCAATGTTATGTTGTAATAACACATTAAAGGTGGGGTAGGTAAGTTTGAGAAACCGGCTCGAGATCGCTAGAATTTGAAAGTACACAACCGGAGAAAATCTGCCACTTCCTTATAGAGCCCCTCCTCCAACACACAGGAACGCGCACATGACCAATGAGGGCACGAGATAAGTTTGTGCACAGATGGAAGGCTGACAGGCAGGTAGGCCATCCAGTTATTTTAGCCGGGCCGGCTAAAATGATTGGTCGTGCTTTTTACAGTATTACGGCTTCCACAGATGACATTTTTTTATGGATTTTTTGTCAAAGCACTTAAGATATTTATTGCTATCGGGATGTTAAGAGCATTCCATGGAATATAACAAAAAGTGTATCTCGAGCCGGTTTCTCAAACTTACCTACCCTACCTTTAACTATATAACTAATTCATTTTCTCAAACTCTACCAAGTTTCAGGATTGTCTCGCCCTGCCTCAAACAAACTTGACCAATACAATCCAACTGAATTATAATTGCACCATATTGTACTTTATTTACCATGTTTTACATTCTAGAACAAAACAGGTGCAACATATCTATAACATTCATTTGATTGACATGAGGGCTCTACCTATAAAATGGAGAATTGAGGAGTCATAGTGCCACCTAGTGGTGAAAAACAATATATAACACATTTTTGATAGGAAGAAATGTCTTGTTCCCTCACACTGAAGAACTTCCACACTGACAACATCATCCGTGCTTCATAAAACCAGCACATGCATTAGTGTGCATTTTATTATCAAAAAGGAAATTGGATAAATTAGACTTAGACCAGTGTGTCTCTAGTTTGACATGTAAAAACGGTTAGGATTCAGTGCTTATTATTGTTAATACACAGAGACAATTACAAAGCGGTTTCTTTGTTTTCATAATACCAGTCATTAATGTGCCACTTTTGTTCCTTCAGGACAAGATGAAGTCACTGATGCAGGACTGGAAGAATATTTCACTTCATCAGAAACAGGTTGGTTGCACAATCATTACGTATCCTTTATTCTTACAGTTACAGAGTGGTGCCGGTATGAGTAGGGACGGCCCTGACCAATTTGCTGCCCTAGGCAAGATTTTAGCTGGCGTATGAGTCCTGAAACTATAAATTAGTTGGCATATTACCACTTCCTGTTCTCTCGTTTAGAAGTCAGTGTTTTTTTAAATGTGGCCTTGGTAAGGAGCCTGAAATAAGGTCTGTAGGTGACACAAACATAAGGGATTTTCACGTTTTGTTTTCCAAAAACGGGACAATGCCATTGCTGTTTGTCAAGGGAGCCCTTTCTATGCTAACGGCCAGATCGCTCTACAAAAATACTTCATCACTGCACCACTCTATAAGGCATCAATGCTGCTGCAAATGTGAAACAAGAATTGACCTGTTGCTCAGTATTTATATCTCCTTTGTTTGCTCCTCATCTCAGATCTATACACAGCTGGCCGAGGACGACAAGATCCGCTATAAGAATGAGATGAGGTTGTGGGAGGAGCACATGGTGGAGATTGGACGACCAGACCTGGTCCGAGAGAATATCCTGCCTACCAAGAGGAAACCTGCAGCTAAAGCTCAAACAATCAAGAAGGGAACAAAGAAGGTTATAGATACAGTGAAGAAGGCCACTGCAAGCAAAACTGTCAGGAGTAAATGAACACATCAGTGTGTTCATGTACCAAGTGTTCATGACATGCTCTGCTTGGTTTTTGACAACGTTCCCAATTGTCATGAATGCTCCTTAGGTTCAACAGGGCAACGCTTTTACATAATTCAGACGGATCAACATCATTTCACAGCACCCATTATCACCTGTGCTTAGTGAAATGTAACAATTTAAACCCGGAAAGCAGGATTATAACAAGCACAATGTGACCCTAATACTCACCCTGACTTATTGGTTTGTTAAATCCATTCGATTGATAAAGTGCGATGGTTCCTGGCTAAGAAAGTGATGAAATATAATGATTTCATAAGCTTAGACATTTAAATCAAGTTATTAAAGGAGTTTCAGATAAGGTTTCTACATTTCTGTCTGCAGTGTGTAAAAGGTTTCATAGCCCTGAGTGTTACCACAATATACTTGAGCGAATATAAAGGTTACTGTTGCAGTCCCAAAGCAAACACTTTTTTTTAAATATTTTTGGTATTTCATAAAGAGTATTGATGCAAAGTAAACGTCTGATGTTATTTTGTACTTGCCAACAAATCCATGAAATGTCCAAAATCAATACCTACAGTACCTGTCTGGCTCTCAGGCTTAGAGCACCATACAATTGTTTGTTTAATTAAAAGACAAAAATATATATATTCACAGACACTGCTTCCCCTAAAGATGAACCAACCTCACTGAAGTATGTATCTCATCGCTCTTGTCGATGTAGTGTCACCTTTTACAGTCGCAACCTCAAACTGAAATACTGTTAACTTTCATTTATGCCATAAACATTGACAGTTGACTGACATTTTGGTTTTCAAAAATATACTTTTTTTTTGTTTAGCTTTGTATGAGATGCTTTTTTGTTTTACTGCTGTAAAAAAGCTGTTGTGGTTAATAATAAAATGTGCTTTTTCCTACTGCGCCTTCATCCAAATGATTGTTTTGTTAATATAAATGCTCAAACACCCTTCATCTCTGGTATGTTTCAAAAGAGCCTTCCTTTATGCTTAAGCAAACTGCCTCAGTGAGACTATGCACGTGTTTACGCTAGCAAAGCTACAGTCAAAGCTGAAGTACAAAAGCATCCATGTAGACTTAATTTTCTCATAGGAGTCAAAGCCCCATTAAATGTGTCTGCTCAGGCTTGTTGGTTCAGAATGGCCGAAACACTCAGTTTGTGTTTCAAAGAGGGGCCCATGTTTTGGTCCCCTCTGGTCATCAGTACTGTAACTACGGATGAATGTGGCACGTGTTAAAACAACCTTCCCAATTTAGTTTAGTTATACATTTTTATAATCAAGAAGTTTCAGCCAAAGTCAAATCCATTAGACGTGTGTATAGATTTTCAATTACCTCGCCAACCCAGCAAAATGTGTAAAATACAGAGCAAAAACACAGCAGATTCTGTTCTGTGGGGTCTTTAAAGTCCCATTTTTTCTGATGGCCATCACAATACGATCTTCAATGAAATTAAATTACCTTGAATCATTGATCTGCATCAGTTCTAAAAATAATGGAATAAGCTATTTACTGCTTTGTAGCATCACATACCACACAATTTAGCTTCAAGCAAACTGTTAATTAACAATGTTTTAAACAATTGATTGACATTTTTCTAAATGTTCTGAAAGGGCCCAGTTTTTTTTTTACTGTGCCAATTTAAAACACTGAAGGCCATCAACATCTGGATTTGCAGCTGCTTTGAAGATTCTCCATGAAGCTTCGAGGTGAACGTGTTTTCAAGTTTAACAAAAACACACAACGTGAATCTTACAATAATACTGCAGTTAGCAAAATACTACACAACAGTTGTTTTTTATTTAACCAGGAAGTCCCTTAACATTCAAATCTAATTTCTTCAAGAGATAATTACAGGTTTACAAAAATAGAATATACAAAGCATGTTAAAACAGACAATTAAAAATAGAGGAAGTAACAGATTAACAGCAGATCAGAATACAAAATGTATAGTAGGCGCCATCTAGTGGAGAGAAAATGTAACTGCAATAAGTGCATCTACTGGATCAACTATCATCCACACTGTCAGACTGATACACTGAAGCATGGGAAAGTTCTGTTATGAAAGCATCTGTAAATTCAAATTACAGTCACTCAGTGTTGGACTACAGTCTGGAAGCTTCCGCCATATGATAACAACATGGTGTCACTATCATTCTGAGTGCTCTGCTGGTGCATGTACAACTGATAGAGTGAGAGAAGTCATAAGTTAACAGGTATTCAGTGCTCAGGTAACATCTACAATTGAGTCCTTGTAGATCAGTGGGGAGGGTTCTAATACCATGATTTTAAAGCATCTTTCCAAAAACTGGCAGTGTCTTCACATCAGAGGTAAAAACTGTTTATGAGTTTGTTTTTCTATCACACGATATTCAAAATGTGCTAGGCTCAATTCTAGCATACAAATGATGCAGGTTGCCGTTGATAGCCTGCATAGCTGCCTTAACCTCAAACCAGAGGTATGAAGAATATATTAGACTCCAGGTCACTTCCTTCACAGTGGTGTGTGGGTGTGGTCCCACAACATCCGATCAGCCATCGTACACAGTTCTCACACAGTGTCAAAGAGTCAGTGACCTCGAGATGCCTTCAGGGTCCTTGTGGCTGCTGTGGTGAAGCTTCTCTCAGTAACGCCTGGAAGTCAGGAGATAATACCAGTTTGTGGCGGACGTTTCCCAACACCATCATGTCTCCAGTTCGACCGTCAGACAGACGCACAGACACCAGTTGCTGAGTAGAAAGGAGAGAAAGCTTCCACATTAATATGGATTTGTTTCACTTTATTAGCAGATATATTCTGGTGTTGCAAATGTTTAAGTTCAGTTAACTGCACGTATATGGGTGTATATGGTGAACTGAACAATCTAAAATACAAAGAGAGAAACCTGTCTTGCACCCCTGAATTAAGTCGTAAAAAATGAAAAGTCACCACCCAGTACCTGCAGGAAGGAGAAAGCAGCTCCCTCAGAGACGTCCATCACAACCTGACCCATCTTCAGCTCCACCTTTCCGGACTTCCTGATCTGCAGTTTACCCAGAAATCCTTCTGGCAGCTGGGACAGCATGGGACAGCCCTCCTTCAGCGGCACCTGCTGAGGACAGGCACAGACTGTTAATAACTGGCTGCAAAAAGCATTTTTGGGTTTAAATGACCAACGGCTGCCAATTCCAATTATCTGTAAATCGCATTTTAATATCTTTAAAAAATGTAATTATGTTTTTTTAATTTGTTGAGGTGTGTTTTTATCAGAATCAGAATCAGAATCAGAATCAGAAACAGAAACAGGTTTATTGCCAGGTAGGTTCGCACATACTAGGAATTTGACTTGATGTCATGGTGCATACATAAAATATAAAAAACTAGAAATCTAATATAAAACACAAAATCTTTTACACCGTAATAAAATACAGTTAAATAGCAATAAAATAAAAATTAAATAAAGCAGTAATTTACATGGAAATAGAATGCTATGAATGAATATTTGCATATAAACTAAGAAATGTGAAATCAGAATATGTGCAGAAAGGAGTATGACATTGTGTGCATTAATGTAATGCATATAGTCTATGATGTGGCAGAGGTAAAGTGTCTGTGGGGGGTCCGGGCCTTGTTTAAGAGGCCGGTAGCGGAGGGGAAGAAACTGTTCAGGTGGCGAGAGGTTCTGGTCCCGATGGAGCGCAGCCTCCTGCCAGAGGGGAGGGGGGTGAACAGTTTGTGTCCAGGGTGGGAGGGGTCGGCCACTATCTTCCCTGCCCGCCTCAGGGTCCTGGAGGCATGCAGGTCGTGGAGGGATGGCAGATTGCAGCCGATCACCTTCTCTGCAGAGCGGATGACACGCTGCAGCCTGCCCTTATCCTTGGCTGTGGCTGCGGCGTACCAGATGGTGATGGAGGAGGTGAGGATGGACTCCATGATGGAGGTGTAGAAGTTCACCATCATCGTCTTTGGCAGGTTGAATTTCTTCAGCTGCCTCAGGAAGAACATCCTCTGCTGGGCTTTTTTAGTGAGGGAGCCGATGTTCTGCTCCCATTTGAGGTCCTGGGCGATGATGGTGCCCAGGAAGCGGAAAGACTCCACAGCAGTTACTGGGGAGTCACACAGAGTGATGGGGAGTCACACAGAGTGATGGGGGCGGGTGGGGCTGCGCTCTTCCTAAAGTCCACGACCATCTCCACTGTCTTGAGAGCGTTGAGCTCCAGGTGGTTGTCCCTGCACCAGGTCACCAGATGGTCCATCTCCCACCTGTAGGCAGAGCCCCCCCCCCCACCAGAGATGAGTCCGATGAGCGTGGTGTCGTCTGCAAACTTCAGGAGCTTGACAGACTGGTGACTGGAGGTGCAGCTGTTGGTGTACAGGGAGAAGAGCAGAGGGGAAAGAACGCAGCCTTGAGGGGAACCAGTGCTGATGGTCCGGGTGTCAGAGATGTGTTTCCCCAGCCTCACGTGCTGCTTCCTGTCAGACAGGAAGTCTGTGATCCACCTGCAGGTGGAGTCGGGCACGTGCAGCTGGGAGAGCTTGTCCTGCAGCAGAGCCGGGATGATGGTGTTGAAGGCGGAGCTGAAGTCCACAAACAGGATCCTGGCGTAGTAGTTTCCTGGTGTGTCCAGGTGCCGGAGGAGGAAGTGAAGGGCCATGTTGACAGCGTCGTCCACAGACCTGTTGGCTCTGTAGGCGAACTGCAGGGGGTCCAGGAGGGGGTCTGATGGATTTCAGGTGGGACAGGACAAGGCGGTCAAAGGACTTCATAACCACAGAGGTCAGGGCGACGGGTCTGTAGTCATTTAGTCCTGTGATCCTTGCTTTCTTGGGAACCGGGATGATTGTTGAGGTTTTGAAGCATGCTGGGACGTGGCATGTCTCCAGTGAGGTGTTAAAAGATGTCAGTAAACACAGGAGACAGCTGATCAGCACAGAGATTCAGGGTGGAGGGGGAGACATTGTCAGCCCCAGCCGCTTTTCTGGTATTGAGTTTTCTGAAAAGTCTGTTTACATCCCTTTCATTGATTGAGAGAGAGTCTGATGTGTCGGGGGAGGTCAGTGGTGTAGGAGAGTAGGACACTGAAGGGGAGGGGGATGTGGAGGTGTGAGACTCAGGCTGGTGCCCCACGGGAACGCATACGGCAAAACGCATAGGATTAACGCAATCGCAAAAAAGCTTCCGTCCACACGCAATATACACCGGATAGTGTCTGTTCACACGAGACAGCTCCGTTTAGCTCCAACCACTGGAAAAAGCTGCAGTACATATGCCGAGCCTGTACGTGGCGCTGTAACTTCCTCCACAAAAGCAGCGAAGAAGAATGGTCGTCATGGTTGCGCTTCTGTTTATTCTCCTTGGTGGGGGCCGAGGGAACCGGGCAGAGTTTTTCGCCGGTCAGCGTGTGTTAAAGTTTAAATCTTCCGGACAAAATTATAAAAGTGCCGGTCAAAGGTCTTCTTTGTTATTTATTGAGCTTTAAAACAAATGAATAACGACTATATATAATGATATATAATAATAAAATACACGGAGCCTGGCATCTCTTTTCCCTCTCTTCTGACAGCGTCAGTGTCTGTCTCATGCAGCAGCTGATCCAGTAATGAGTGACCCGACAGTAAAAATAAACATATTTATAACTAGTTTGAGAGGTCATTAAAATAGCTAAGGGTGATGATCTGACTTGAAGTGTGTGTTTTCCTCCCGCTGCATCACAGTGGGAGGAGCTGCGTGTCTCCGTCCTGTCAGATTAGACTTCACTCGCGTTTATGTCCATATCGAGATAAAGATAAATAATCTGAATTCAGTGTGCAGTGTACTTTTGCGGGGGTGAGCAGCAGAGGCGGGGAGAGGCGGGGCTATTGCATCATCATTATCACAAAATGATCGTATAGAGGCGATCACACGGAGCCGTTGGACCCCCC